TCGTAGACCTGCATATATACATATACACATATATATATATATACATACATACACATACACACATATATAAAATCCCAGAATGCCATAGTTATTAGCATATGTGTTGTATGAATGCTTATATACATATCAGCATATATACAATAGACCTTGTGATGAGATGGCCAGTGAACAAACTTAATAAATAAAAATACTGTATGCTAGAGATATCAGAAAGACATAGAATGCGGTCACAAAGTTCAGAAACAATAAAAAATAATTATGTTTATTATTCTAGAAGGCAAGGCATGGAACAATGAATTTTGATAGTAGAACAAAATTCAAAGAAAGTCAGAGTTCTCCCTCCACTGTCCAAGATGGATGGCCATTTAACATGGATGCTTTAATTGGATTTCTGAATGGGACAGGGGCTCAGATTTGGCAGCCTAAGTGGTCCTCTTCCAATTCCACTGATGTTTCCCCAAAAGAGGTCCCTGCTTAAATTTTGAGCTTTTGTATCACATTCTTATATTGTGAACAGCAGACAGGGCTTCAATGTATAAGGATTTAAAAAAAAAATACAAAATCATTGTATACATCAGTTTCTGAAAACTATTAATTACCTCATGTCCTTAAGGGCTAACTGCTCCAGCTGACTTTTCCAAAGTATATCATCTTCTGTTTTGTTGAAGAACATCATTTTTACTGCCCTTAAGAGGATAGTTCAATATTTAATGTTCAGCTTTTAAACACATACAGTATTCTTTGAAAAACACAACCCTGAACACCTCAGTAAGAATTCCCAGAATGCCATTAGCTAATCCACTTATTCAACTCTAGTAGCAGGTCTCTGAAACACACAAAAAATAGTAAGATGTGATGATTCCAGCTTTCTGTTTGCCCCTTCTTAGCTAATAGCCCTTCTGCCCATTTGAACAATACAGTACCCTCTATAACTGGCACTTTGGGAAGACAACTGAGTCCCTTATAAACTTACTGAGAAAAAGGGGGCCACCTATCTATCCACTGGGACAATCCTTCCCATCCCACTTTGTTCTCTTTCTTGAAGGGAAAGAGAACAGATTAATCCTTCTCAACTGTTTTCTCATTTTGTGGGGTTTGTAACTCTAGTCTTTTAAAAATAGAAGTAGACTCATTTTTCATTATTCCTCCAATATTATTAAACATGGAAAGCCCATATTTAAGAAAGCAGGAGCCAGGTTTAGTCTGGAGTTATAAGGAGTCAACAAAGGCAATAAAATTAGACCAAGGTTATTTCGTGTTTTTATTTCAGCAACTTGATTGCCATAAAGAACAGGAATCTCATGGCATCTGGGCCATGGGCTAAAATGCTTTTATGATGGTTATGATGTGATTTTCACCTATGCCAGGAAAGTTGCTATTCTAGCCAAACATTAGAAAGGGTATAGATAAAAAAAATAAATTCTCTAGACTATAATCATTGTGTTCCGAGGGAAGGAGAGGGAGGGAGGGAGGGAAGGAGGGAGGAAGGAAGGAAGGAAAAAAGGGCATTTTCCCCAGATGCCCTCAAGGGGGCACTGCTGGATAAAGTAGAATTGTATTAAGATTTCCCAAGAAAAAGTGGGTGAAAAGCCAGTGTGATCAGCAAGATTTATTAAAGGGAAATATTTACAGTAATGCTCCCTGTGACAGACAACGGGAAGGTACGCTGAGTTCTGTCCATGCCAAGGGACAGGTTTGTTGAGTTTTATTACCATAAAACAAGTTGCGTGAGAAGCTGATGCTTTATTAGCAAAATGCCTTGCCTATGAATTTTTCAGTGGCTCTTCCTTCATCTGGCATTCCCAGATACAGTCTGTGTGGTGCTGTGCATCTCACTATTTATTGCATGCAGCGGTAAAAACTGGTGCTAGCTTGGTTCGGGCATACAAATAGTAAAATAAAAACAGAATAGGTTGTAATAGGTTGAAGTTACACTTTGCTTTCTGTGTAAAGAATTTTGTCTTTACGAGGAGCTTAAAGGATCTTGTTGATGGAATGGGGGAGGCAGCTCAGTGCTGGTTTCTCCCTTTTGCTGTTGTGATGGTATGTGGCAATGACCTTGGGAAACAAGGAGGAAGAGCTGCAGATCAATAAACTGGCATGTAAAAGTATATGCTGGCAATCATTATTATGAAGTTAGTCACTCATCAGTTACTTCAACAGTATAGTTTATTTGAAGCAATATAAGGAAAAGGCTTTGAATGCCCCCAAATGAACAGGAAACTTCTAGAACAGAAAGATACCTGAGGGTAGCACTATTACTCAAAGCATAATTGAGAAGTTTAACCATTGGTGTGAATCCGGTGCCTGCTGCCAATAAAAGCAAATCTTCTACATCTTCCAGTTGTGGTTTTCTAAAAATACCTTCAGAATTACTCAAAGAAATATAGTCTCCTGTTAAAAAACAAAATAGGACAGATATAGAACAATAAATGATAAGATTAGAAAATCATGATACCTCTATTCCCTACGTACAAGTTAGCATCACCACAGGTATTCTACAGAAAATAATAGAACAAATGAAATTGGGCAATATTGCAGTCTACACAATACTATTCTTTTAAAAAATGCATAATATATTTTGAAAATATTTGAAAAATGAAAAAAATAATAATAGATTTTGAGATGCTCTGAGAGAGGAAGAAAAACGTCCGTCATACCTATTTGTAAACTGTCAAGCACCGGTGTAAAAAGTCCTCCAGGATAAATTTTAATCATAAAAAATATTTGTGCCTTATCATTGGAAGAAAGGATTTTGAATGGTGATACCAAGCAAGATAATATTGGTGTGTAAGGCTTGACTATCTCTGTACCTAAAGACAGTGCAAAAGAAAAATCCATAATAATAAGCATTAAATATTCCAAACAGCTTTAGTGCAAAAAGGTACAAATATTAAGAACAAACGTATTAATATCCAGATGAATAATGAAAACCATAAACTAAGTGCGACATTCATGAACAATTTATTTCTAAATAAGCCAAAAATCTATGCATGATCATGCTATAAACTAAATGTTAAATGTTATATTATTTTGTTTGATTAGAATATTTCTTCTATCATATTTACTATCAACCTGTTTTGTATATTTGTCTCTACCCATCCTATCCAATTTATGCTATTACGGTACTTTTGGCCAAGGAATTTGTTAAAATGTTAAATCACCGGACTGCAGAAAATACCTTACAATACTGCATTATCATCAAATAGATGAGCAAAAAAACCCAGCTGTATGATACAATGCATAAGATATATGTTTTTCCCTTAGTAAAAGAATCAACTCCTTGTGCTTTCCTTGAAAATCAGAATTAGGACCAATAAAATCTAGAAGTAGGGTAAGATTTTCATTCCCATTACCTGTAATAGTTTGTTTGAGGTAAAGATGGTGTCCCACTGGCACTTGGAGATGAGTTCCTGGTGGTAACTCTACGCAGAACAGTCTAGTATCATGAGTGACATTTGTTTTTGACAACAGCTTGCATTTCCTGTAATACAAACCTTAGAAACACAGAAACCGAGGAATTAACTGAATTCACTTTGCTCAAGTATTAACACTTTTAAACGTTCATGCTTCAAATACATTTAAAATCTTTGTTCCTTTTAGGAATTTCAGAAATAAATTTCTCAGTGACCTGAACTCTCTTTACAGAAACAGAATGAAAATTCTAAATCTAAGTCATTGAAATCCTCTGCCTCTTACAAAGTATATCAAGCAAGTATTCTGCTCACCACTATTTTTCATATATTGCATTAACATTTTAATCTCAAAATATTAACATTTATATTTACTGGCATATTAATAATGCCAATATGTTCAAATTCTTGAGATATGGATTCAAAGTACATTTCTAGCCAAAAGGTCTGGTCCACATATTCAGGTCTTACGGTGGAAAACAAATCAATTACAGACACGATGATGCAAAGGTACAAACTAATGCTATGCCTGTGTAGCAGATAAAAACCACTTTTTCTCCGAGTGGTGAACTAAACTGTCACAGTGAGTCTAATCCTAGACAATGGTCTAATCCTCGTTCATGTTGCTTTTTCATACAGATTCTCCTGAAAATTTGTTCGGAAATAAGTGTGTCAGGCTACTGCTAATCAATGCTTCAACAAAAGCAAGGGTGAACAGAAGGTAGACAGAAACTCCAGGCACAATTAGGGGACTATCACTATTTCTCTTGTTTTCGAGGCACTTCTTTATATCTTCAGAGCGTTTGTCAATATCAAAGACGCTCTCTCTTCCCTATCATTCTGCTTCCGGCCAAAGCAAAAGCACAAGTTTGACAGACATCCTGTTTTATTAATGGGACCTGTTATTATCTAAACTGCCTACAGTTGCTCGGAGGCACTGATGTTCTGAGCTACGCAGTGTACACAATTATGTACAATTCCGCCAAAGAGCATCTCCTAAAACTGGCACATCCATGCAGGTATTGATTCAGATCCTGTAGAGAGAGGCTAGGTCAAAACCAAGTAGGGAAGGCATTCAAGGGATGATGTTAATTATCGTTGAGATGCGGTAATACAATCTGAAAAGCCAGCCCCAGGCTTTTTCTATCCCATCTGATACTAAACACACTTAAAGTGGGGTTATTTCGAGTTTCTTTTTCATGACCTCCTCTTCCTCCTCAAGACTGTGTAATCTTTTCTGCGTGTCCCACCTTAATGGCTTGCCCCGGCTTTCCTGAAGGTCAACTCTATATTCCTTCACAGATGTGTCTGGAATACTCTACCCGACTCTGTAGTTTCTTCCCCAAACCCCAAAAAC